CAATTATTATTGTGTTCAAACGGTGTAAATTCCTCAATTAGTAAAATCCTCTGCAACTCCGTGGATGTAGGCAATTTGCCGAACCACGTAAATCTGTGTGTTTTTGGTGTTAATTTTCTCGTGCTATATTTATTCGCTTCGTAGTCGATCGTTATAAATTTCAAAGTTATCATAACATATATAATAAAATAAATCCATTTGCTTGGTCTTTGCAATTTGGTAAGAAATTTCATCAAGGTAAAAAAGGAAATAAATCCATGTGGAAGAAGGAAGAGGAAGATTGTTCTTTCTTGACTTTTTCTTGGTGGCTTGTGGCAGAGGAGAAATTAGGTTTATTTCTCTTGTAAGTTTATCTTTTCGGTATATCTCAGTGTAGAGAGAGAAGAAAAGAGAGCAAGAAATTGGGTTTATTTCTCTTATAAATCGAGACGATCGACTGATGTATATTCTTCAAGTAGTAAAATCCTCTGCAACTCATTGAACATAGGCAATTTGTTGAACCACGTAAACCTGTGTGTTCCGCTGCGTTACTGTTTTCTGGTGTGATTTTCTCGTTCTATTTTTCGCTTCGTCAAAGATCGTCCTTCTATCTTATATATATATATATATACCACAACATATTTCATTTCTTAAAAATTAAAATCATTATTTTGTTTGCGTGATATGAAAAATTTAGGTGTTTGATAGTTAAATACATAGGAATTAGGGGTTATGTATGTAAATGCCTCACCGTGAAGCATTGAAAAAGTTTTGTTTCTATATTTGCAATATAATAATTAACGCCAGTTTTCAACTTAATCGGACGGCTACGAATTCACATACCTGAATGACGAGCAAATCCGGCTCATCCAAATCCCTCCTCAGATCCCAAACCAGAGTCTCCATTCTCCTCCCATAAGCCTCCGCATCCACCTTCGAAACCGTATCGCTCTCCCCCTGGTACCACAGCACAGCCGCCAAGATCCCTCCTTTCTCGACCGCCGCGCGCGCTCGCCGCACCAAATTCAAATACAACCGCCTCCCCCGACCCCATTCGCTGATCGCCGTTCCTCCGACGGCGCACGGCACAAGGCCGAGCGGCGCCGGAGCCGATCCGCCGGCCAAGACGGCATGTGCGAATGGCATGCCGGGCCCCACTCCGCACGTTTTGTGCACGTCGATGTCGGCGTGGAGGGGCTCCCGGGCTTCTTCCCACAGGAGACGGGAGCTGAGGCGGAGGATGTCAGGGGTCGGCCGGCACGGCGGCGGGGTTAAGTGGAAGTGGTCCCAGCTGTTTCCGGCGACTCCTCCGCGGCCGGACATGTTGCTTTGGCCGGCGAGGAGAAAGATGGGAATTTTATGGGCTAAGGTGGCGGCGGAGAGGAGGAGGGTGAAGAAGGGGAGCATGTCGGGCGGTGGAAAGTATTGGGAGGTTTTGTTTTTCCTTCTATCGATTTTGAGGACGATTTTAGTTAAAAGAGGGAAGCAATTATACAGTCGGAAGTGTTTGGGGATTTCGCGCCGATGTAATAATGCTGTTTGTTCCAAGCTAGTGTGAGGGAAGCAGAGGAGTGTCGGAGAAAATTTGGGTAAGAATAAAGATGACATTTAATTATGATAAGATTTATAAAAGAAATCAAATAATTTTAAAATAAATATAATATATGATTATGTGATAATAATTCTTTTTATATACTTTAAAGTAGATTTAATAACTTCAAAATCATTATAATTGATATCTGATCAAGAAATTTATATAATATGGGACCAATAAAACATTTTTGATGAGGGATATTCCAAGTTCAAATTTATAGTTATCTAAGCTTTGATTTTGATAAATCATATCTATACTACAAGTTCGATGATACAAAGGGTTTGTTTGGGGTAGCTTTGTTTGAAGAAACAATTGTTCAAAATATTGCGGTGACTATTACAAATTTATTTTAATTTCAAAAATTTATACAACAGCTTTTTAATAGTCACCACACTTAACTGATCCGATTGAGAAAAAAAAAAAAAACAGTTTTCTACTATAAAAATTTATAAAAAACAATAAGAAAACAGTTTCCAAATAGAATTATGATGATTGTCTGAAAAACAAAACAACCAAAAAGAGGTCCCAAACGAATGCTAAAATTGATCTAATATGATTACCTTGATTACAAATAAGCCAACGAAAAGTATTTAGGGTATGCTTGGGACAACATTCTACAAGCTTAACGTTTCAGACATCAACTACAAATTTATTTGGAGAACTTTTTTTTTGCTATTTTCTTAAAATTTTTATGATGTGAAACTATTTCTTTCAACATGTCCTATTAAGACACGATATTGTACGAAAATTGTTGTTTGATTTTTTGAAAGAAGTATATATTTATAATTCTCATAACAACCTTTTTAAAAGTTGCATTCTCTAGATTCATTCATCATTTTTATTAATTGGGTGTGCTCATAGTTAAATCAACTAGCTTGGCGGAGGGAAGTAACGAGCAGGGGCAGAGCCAACCTCTTTTTTGAATGGGAAGGGGGGCTGCTAACAGCCCCTTAGACATAACGCCGGAGGACTAGGGCAACAAAGGATAAAGTGATATTTCAAATGGGGCAAAAGACCTAATTTTCCTCTCATGTAATAAAACCTGAGTTTGGGGGG